CTTTTATGCCGTAGCCTATCAGCACTCACACGTTTAACTTGGTGAGCCGGTCAGCCGTAATCGTTAGATATCGGCAATGAACCGCGAGGCCTAAGGCTTTAGAATTTTTGAAGTTTTATATTATGATAACTGCTATTTTACGCCGCATAAAAGCCGTTAAGCTGAGAGGGTAAAAGCGGCCCTGGTGGCGTAACGGATAGCGCACTCGCCCGGAAAGCGTGAGGTGCGGGTTCGACTCCCGCCTGGGGCACGACTTTTGCCTCACAACTCAGCACTCTTGTGAGAACTCCTTTCGTTTATCTTTCCTTGCTTCTGATATTTATAGTGAATCAAGGAAAAATAAGATTTTCACGTTCGATACTAAAGGTGGTATTGCAGAGCGCATTCTCACAAACGAATTTGAACATCGAAGTGGTGAGACGCGGCTATGCTCGGGTTCCACCACCAGAATCGCCGCGCCATTTGAAGGCGCTCCAGTCGATTCCGGCGTACTCAAGACTGATTAACCGACTGTTAATGAGTGAGAAGGTATGCGAACCAATTTGTTCATGTTAACCCGTTTTTTTTGTGAATTCGTTTAACTGAATTTCTTCTGCGTCTGGTTTTTTAGTTCCTGTGCCTTAGAAATGCCTACTATTAGGATGACTGCTATCCATGAAATTTTTCCATCACGCTGAGCATCGAAATACTTTGACAGGAGATTTCTCAGTTTTCTTGTAGTTTTCTTGGAAGTTTGGCGTGGTTCATTAGTTTTTGAAGGGAACTGATTCATTTTAAAAGGTTTTCAGCACTGTTTTCCAAGTTGTTAAATTATGAAACCACAGCAGCAACCCAATGGTACCACAACCATTTGACAGAGCTTAAAGGTGAGGGTTCCGTTGAACCGCTGGGCTCTCGTGCATGGAGAATATTATTTGTAATGTATCGTTCGTGATACGATAGCAAGTTTCTCTTTGCCGGTACCGTCTAGCTCAATCTCTTTGTTTATAAACCAACTTATGCATCTGTGAAGCGGAGGTAGCGAAGTGGCAAGTGGCACGTTGCCACGCGGCGACTCGGGATCAACCCGGATCAGTTCCCGCCCAGGTTATGAAGGACGGTAAATTTATACCAGATTGGTCTGGGAGGATAAGAACACTGACTTGTTCATCGGGTGACTCCGCGATTCGGGGGTCAAACCCCCCCTCGCCCTGGTGGTCCAAGATTTATGCCCTCCGGGGGCGGTAAATTGGTACCAGATTTGTCTGGGAGGATAAGGACACTGACTTGTACATCGGCTGGCCCCACAAGTCATTGTATAGGCCACGTAGCGTTCAATAGGCCATTGGATTCTAACAATAAGAGGGATGCATGTCGCATCCCAAAAAGAGATCAATCATCGGCGCCTATCTTTATCCTTTGTTCACGGAGAATTTGACAAATATTAAATGGAGAATTTGACAAATATTAAATAAGTTGATGCTGAGAAGGGTGGAAGTGGCTCCTGACAAACGGCGTAGCTATTATAGTACTGTGATTCCTGCACCGGATCTCGTACCGGTTCTTATCCTTACTATCGAAATCGTCCACACTTCCAAGACCAGTCACTTGTCAGAAAATAGTCGTCTGAAGCAGGAACTGAGTTGCACTTCATCTGCATCACGCGTCATTGTTTGAAAATTATTCCATTGCAGCTGTGGAATGCGAGGCGCATTCCATAGACATTATTCATAAGTACTTCATCCTTTTTATTTCTTGTTCCACTGAAACACGCGCTGATAACAACAGCCATTTGCAAGTGAATGGCGCTGAAGCGGAAGTGTGGCATGGGCTGGGCTTATTTCGCTCACCTCATGGTTCTGGCCATAGCTGTTGCGTTCGCTCAGTCGAAAGCATTTCAGAGTTATTGGTTTGTTTTCACACCCACTTAATAGACCACTGTGTCTTGTCTACAGAGATTCAATAGGTGAAGTTTATAGCAGATGCGTTAGAAGGATCTTTATACTCGTCCTTCTGGTGTGCTTGGAAGGGGCAGTTTGTCAGCCGGGTTCTGGAAACTTTCGTGCAGAAGTTCATTTCTCAGAATTGAGTTAGGACAGTTTGCAATAGCCGAGCGCCTGAACTGAGTTGATAGGCCTTTGCCTTTTTGTTGCGTCTTCAGAGAGCTCCCATGTTTCGACATCTTTCTCCTTTTCGTGAGGTCTCAATCAAGGATTAGGTAAATGGCCCTATCATACCCATTGTGAATTTCCCTGTGGATTCCCGTTCGGTGGTGACACTAGAGCAACATAGGTTCGCTCTGAATGATTGACTTTTATTGACGTTGCGTACTTTTCACAGACATTCTTGATTCAAAAAAAGAAATGAAA